AAAAAGGCACCCACTATATCCAAGGACCCTGGGCAGGTCCCTCCCACAGCGAGTTCTGAGCCTAGCATGGCAGGTTCCTGAGCACAGAGGTGTTCTGGCCACTAGCCACACACCCACAACTGCCTCCTCTGGCCACCCCTGCTCCCAAGGCTGAGCTGCAGATGGCTGTAGAGTCCACTGCCACCTCTTCCCTCTCAGCCACAGGCTCTAACCACAGAGGTGGAAGGCTGTGGGGGCCACAGGTGACCGTGTCGGGCCAGGCGCAGGACACTCTGCATCCTATTGACCCGCCCCATGTTTGCACCCCTAAACTAGGAAGAATGGTTTTCACTTCCACAAGAATGCTCTCCCCCATTTTTCTGGAAACCAGTGGTCTTTTCTATTTTAGCTTTTACCCTGTGGCTGAGGCCTCGGTGCCACCGAGTATTTTCTTAAAAGCATGACGATTACACTAGTGACAGTGACAGTCCCCCAGCTCTGAGGATCCACAGAGAGCAACAGGGTACAGCCACCGGCAAGCAGAGGCCCGGCTTCTCAGTGACGGTTTCACTGAGAAGCGGAGAAGATGCCAATTCCGATTTTTATGTCACATCTCCCAATTTTTAAAAAAGTTGATTCTGGTTTTGTCAGAATTCTCTGGGGGGCTAAGGACACACACTGACCACGTTCCTGGCCATCTCTGCAGCTCCCACAGGGGCCGTCTTTGGGTGTCAACCTGCCCCCTGCAGGGCACTTTGGATCTGAGGAACACAGGTTTTTACCTCAACAGAGGGAACAACCACAAAGTCCTGGTCCTCCTGTCCCACAGCCCGGGGGACAGAAGAAATGTCCTCCTTCCTCCTGTGGGCCTGTGTCTCCTACAGAATTGGCCTAAGGCAGGGTTTCCTCGAGGAGGCCCAGGGAGCTGGATTTTCACATCTGATTTAATTCCTGCAGAAGCTGATAAGGAAGAGATGCCAGGCATAAGTGAAGAAATCGCTGGATTGTAGGTCAAAAATGGCTGAGAATCTGCATGTGTCCAAACTTAGTGAAAGTCCCTGCCCTCCTGCTCCTCAGTGGATGGCCAGCCACCTCTGCCCACGCGCTATCTCCCAGGGCCAGGTCTCTCGGGCCCTGACGCATGCAGGGCTGCCTCAGGAAGGACTGGAGATGCAGATCACGAACCCGCGCGCTGTGGTTGGCCTCACTGAAGCTTTTACTTTTCTTGCAATTTAATTTGAGCCTAGGTGGCTATTTTTCATTTTCACTCAGAAATGGGTGCTGCAACCAAATTCAGGGCCAGGATCAACTGTCCTCAGGTTTCCCTGGAACACATGTGTCAGAGACGCTGGGGGTGAAGGCCGACTGGCCCTGGGGGACACAGATGCCCTCTCTGTTCCTTCCTTTCACACATGGATGGAGACACAATGAAGGGACCAGGGCAGGAGGTGCCCGTCAAGAAAGCAGGGGCTGTGAGTCTGGGGCAGAGTGTCTGCTCTGTGGCAACCGCGTGGTCCCTGTGGAGCCGAGCCGTGCTGGGCACCCCTACAGGAAGGGCCCACAGAGAGCCGCTGACTCTCCCCAGCACCAAGGACCCTCAGGGCAACCGAGGTCTATTTTATCAACCTCAGTCTGGCGTTTTCTTTTGGTCAAAGTGGGAAGCCCATTAATGAGAAGGGGGTAGTGAGGTTTCTGCAACCAGTTTTAAACAAATATGGTTTTTACCTCTGTGCTCACGAGAACTCACAAGGGCCAAAGCCCCCAGACATGAGGTGTTCACTGCAAGGCAATGATGAGCCGGTCCCCACGGAGGGGCCTGCAGGGGCGCCCTGCACCCACAGGCTGCCTGCCAGCAGGGCCCTGGAGCCACCTGCTCCACAGGACTCAGGGGAGGAAAGCCTGGGACTTAGAATCCCCTGACAGGGAGGCTGTAGCAGCTCCCAGGGCTGTGGACAGAGCACACTGCACATACCCACGTCCTCACCAGTCACCTGCCCCAAGGGGCACGGAATGGCACACCCGAGGGGCAGCCTGGGAGGCCCGCCCACATGTGGTCAGTGGGAGCAGAGCCCTTCCTGCCTTGCTGTGACAGCCCAGCCATGCCCCTGCTCAGCTCCTGCTACCTCCTCCAGGGAGGGTGGTGGACACCGGCCAGCACTTTGGGGTGCCAAGAAAGCAACCTGGAAGGGCAACTTGAAAACTGCCAACCAGGCCTGGGCACCAGGGTAGAGGAGGCAACAGGCGTCGGGCCAGTCCCAGATACTTCCTGACACACAGCCCACCTACAAGCTCAAGTGGCTGGCAAGATCCCCAGCGTCCCCTAGGAAGACCGAGACAAGGGCGGGTGGACCCTGCAAGGATGATGGGGGAGGTGTCCTCTGGGCTCTGGTGGGTGTTTGGGGAGTGCCTGGACCAACAGAGGCAGGCGGCAATCATTCCCAAGGCAGGGCCCCAGCTCAGCCCTCCGCTGTACGCCCTTGTCCACCAGCACGGCGCCTGGGCAACCTGAGGGGCAGACACAGCACGATTCATTTCAGGGGCCCCTTGGTTTGGGCCTCCCTGGCCACTGCAGAATATTTAGATCTTCCCTGTAGAACCGCAATCCCAAGTTGTGACCACGTGGCCTAGCATTACTGTCCAATGTCCCTAGGGAGGTGAAACCAGCCCTGGTTGAGCATCACTAGTGTGAACTAACCAACTGCTGTCCTGATACTGGAGGAAGGGTCCTGGCCATTCTTAAAAATAACCAGGGAGAAATAGGCAGTTAGGGGACAGGAGGCCTGGAGGGGGAGGGCACGCCTCCTCTGGGAGAGGGCTTCTGTGAGGGACTGTCAGGGGCCGAGGGACAGGGACTCGGGTAGGTACAGGACAGAGGAGGGTCTGCTTCTCCCTAGTGGGCGCTCTTCCCTTTGGTGGAACCCTAAGCCAGGCTGACAGTCCCAGCCAGGACACAGAGCTGAGGTCGGGAACCCACGCACCCTGGTCACGGTTGAAATGCACCTCAGTTTTATGAGGCACTAAGCGGAGCCCCCTGCCAGGATATGTGGGGACCCGCTATTGCAATTCACTGAGAGGGAATATACCAGCTTTGAGGGCAGCACCCAGCTCTGGGTCACACAGAGAAAGGGAAGGAGAGCGCGGTGCTCAGGAATCAAAGGCCTTGCTGTGTGGGCTGCCCCTGCACGGGCCCAGCTCTGTGCCCGAACCCAGCTCCCGGGGCACAGCTTCCAGATGCCTGCTGACAGGATGGAGCTCCAGGATGAAGACTTCTGGGGACACCATTCACTAGCTAGTGACTGACTTCACTTGCTGCCCAGTGGACAGACTGGAAGGCCCCCAAAGTCACTGAATCACCTTTCCAGTTTCCAGAGAGGGAGGCCCTGCTGGTCAGCCAGCCAGTGTCCCCTGCCCCAGGGGCCCATGAGTTTTGGAGAGGGCTTCGTGGGAACACGTCTCCAAACGAAACAGAAGACCCTTTCCAAGCAAAAAAACGCTGGAGTTCTGCTGCCTGCCTTTTAAAAACTGTCCTCCTGTTTGCTGCTGGTGGTCAGTGTGTGGGGGACAGCTGTAGTACGGCCACCACCTGGCTGACATTCACAGTCCTTTGACTAAGGGAAGGAGGAGATGGCTGATCTTTCTGTGGTTCTCAAATCGCTGTTGTGATGAGATTCTCTTCCTGCTCCCTCTAGACTCAGGAGCATTGTGTGTATTTTATGCTCAGAACAATTGGTTCTCTTCTTTGGATAACACAGCAGTCCTGGGGCACTCAGTGAGTGCAGATGGCACAGTCCTGTAGGTACACATGACAAGCTCCTGGGAACCACCGTGGTGTGAGGAAGCAACCAAACAGGGCTGGAGGGGCCTGGTGGGCGAGGCCGGGGACCAGGAAGACTAAGGGGGAGCAGGTGAGGTTTCAGGAGGCGGGGCAGGGGCTGTTAGGAATGAATGCCATCTCTGCCCATCTCTGCCCATCCAGTGGCAATGGAGGTGGGAGGGTGAGCCAGTGGTACCCACCTCTGCCCTCTACCTGACCTGGCATACAGGCACACCTTACCTCCACCCATGGGGACGGCCAAGCCATCGGCTCCTGGGTGACTCTGTGGCCCCAATGAAGCAGGATCCTGCAGTCCCAAGGGGCCCCAGATGTCACTCCACGATACTTAATGGGACAGCTGTACCTCACACCCCCAACAGACTCCCTAAGTCACCATAGGAGGCAGTTGCCATATGGCCCTAAAACCTACCTCCTGTCTCAGAAAACAACAGAGGCTGAGTACCACGGGGATTCCGCCTCCTGCGCCCACCAGGACTCCACACTGGTCTACATTCTCCATCCCCAAGCCTCTCGCTGAGAGCCATTGGGATCACAAACTGTGAAACAGGCCCAGAATGGAAAGCTCTAAAGCTCCTGGTCTCCCGGGTCTGTCCACAGAGCAGGTGAGCTGGACATTACTGCTTTACCAGGGGAGGAAGGTTCCCAGGGCAAGGAAACTTTAATTAGGGCTCGAACCCTAATTACAGCCGAGCTCACCTGGCTGCTTGTGAGCAGCATATCACCCCACCTGAGCTGGCACCTGCTCTCCACCGCCACACCTGTCTCCTCCACTGACCCACGCCCGAGCCTCACTGGCACATCTTGTGACACAGGAGCATCACCAGACCAAGCCTCCCGGGCCAAGTTGAAGAGCAGATCTCAACCTCACTACCCAAATCTAATGCCGAGGGAGAGCAGCGCCCCCTGCAGGGCTCCCAGGGGATGCAGGGTTCAAGAGCCAGCTGGGCGAGCCTGTGCCACAGACCGCTTCCAGGCAGTGGGCAGCCTGGGAGGGACCAGAGTGGGTTTCCAGGGGACTGTCATGTCTCTTTGTGAAATGGGTGCTGAATACTTAGGATGTGCATGCTTTTCCCTCCGTCCTCAACTTCCCCGAACCACAGCGGCTGATGTGAAAGGCTCACCCCCTTGACTTCTGGAGCCCAAGAAGGCGCCAGTGGCACCCTGGGGCAGCCCAGGCCACACTCACCGGCTGCAGCCCGTCCTCCTGCCTCCTGCTCTGGCTCGGGCGGTTGATGAAGGACCGCGTGGAGACCTTGTAGTGATTCAGCAGGCAGACGATGACCACGACCATCACCGTGACCACCACGACGATGATGATGATCTGGGCGAACTCCAGCTCCGCTGCAGGAGAAGAGGACAGTGTGAGCCTCCGCCCTGCAGGGGACCTGGCCCGGGCAGTTAGCACAGCCAGGCAGCAAGGGCCCCCGTATGACCACAGCAAACAAAAACCACGACCCCACTCAAAGAAGAAGAAGAAAATGAGCGCAGTGGCCAAGCTGGCGCATGACTGGGCTGCAGGTCACACCTGGGGCTGGGGGAACACTGAAGCCTGAGCTCCAGCTACACCAAGGTCAGGTGCAGGCCCACTGCCCAAGATCACCTCCAGACTGGCTTCCTTGTCTTGAGGATACCCTGAGACAGGGCTCTTTCCAGCGGCCCAAGGTGCTGCCAAACACTGTTCCCGAACTTTGCCTTTGCAATCTCATGAGGGGCCCTTAACAAAGTTGTCCTGTTGGCTACAGAGCTGCTGCTGCTGACTGCCCTGTGGTCAGGGGAGAGTCCACAGTCAGCCCAAGAGCTTGCCGTGGCAGGCTGCATGGCCACCCCCTGGTGCTGAGCAGTCACCTGACCACCCACCTGCCCTTGGAAGCCGAAGCCCAGGCTGCAGACATCTACACCCCCATCCTGCCAGATGACATCCTCCACCTTCCTCTAAGAGCCAGGCCAGTGCTGCGTGCACCCCAGAAAAGAGCTGGGAGCCGAGAGCTGCAGACGCACTGCATGGGGAGCCGCTGAGGCCCGGGACACAGGCCAGGGAACCCTCGCTGCCAGTGAAAGGCCACAAGGAGTTCAGCTCTTTCCACTGGACTAAGATGACTCCAGGAGGCCAGGAGGCAATGCCCAGAGTGGCTCTAGGGACTGGCAGCCAATGCCCAGGGCCAGGCTCCTCACCCTCCTGAGGGCCTGCCTTTGCTCTGGACCACCCCTGAAGCCTGCCCAAGTGCTCTTTCCTATAGGGAGGAAGCTCCCCAATTTATGTTCCCCTAAAGGTCCAGGGTTGACTAGAAATTTTCATGGTGGGCACCTTCTGGAAAAGACGGAGATTGCCTGCAGGGAGCAGGGCTGGGGACCACTGCTGCTGGGGTCCACATGTCAAGGGACTCTATGCCCCCAGGCTGTGGGAACCGTGACATGTTTGCTGACTTAGACACACTGTGTCCAGGACTCCTGTCCTTGGCATGTGCCTTCCCAGGTCTGGGACGCCTGGCCTTGACCCTGTGTCTCTCGGGATCCCACTCCCATGCTCCACGTGACTCCCCAGCCGCCTGTCTGCACCCCCTTCACCTCTTCTGACACAAGGCACAGCTTCGTGTGTTTTCTGCCTGCTTTTTGTGAAAGTGTGACAACGAGCTCCTGTTACTGACTCTGTGCTCCTGGTGTCTGGCACCTGGTGGCACCTGGCAGTGGCTCTGAAGTGAGGTCGACGAGCAGGAGCTCGGGCATGTGGCCTGGGGTGGGCTCCCCCGAGGACAGCCACCACTGATGGACAGAGAGCTACACTGGCCACACAGGACAACAAGGGTACCTGCGAGGAGCCCTGGGGTCTACGTCAAGGGCCAGCCTCCAACCTGTGGGTGGTGGCACCAGCAATGAGCTAGTTATGAGGCAGGGTGCTCACACTGATCAGGCCAGAGCCATGGACACGGGGACAGATGGAACCCCAACCACATCTGGTTTAACAGCTCCTCATCGACAGGTAAGTAGCAGGAGACTCACAAGCTGCCTTTCAGGGTAAAGCGTGCCCCAGGGTCACAGGGGGTCTCTTTTCTCAAGACAGTTTCACTACTCTGTGGACACAGAGGGAGGGGAATGTGAGGGTGACCGCAAGGGGTCCCACACACAGGCCTCAGGGTCAACACTGTACCCAGAGGACATCTTCCTAGGCCATCTTTCCTTTGACACGGAAAGCTATGCAGAGCAGATCACAAATTTCGTCTCCTTAATTCTATGAGCATTACTTGTCTAATTGTGTCTCCTGTGAAAAGGATTTTTGTTATAAAAATAACCAAACGTCTTGCAAATTCAAACAACATGGAGTACACACTACTGAATCCGGCGCCTGCCCTGTCCACCGAGCTGGAATGGACAGGGACCTCACTACCTACTAGGCTAGTATCCACCACTGACACGCCCCAGTCCCGGCTGCTGCTTTTTAATTACTGGGATCGATGTGCAATGTATTGCTCTGCTTTTTTCCACTTAATCTATCACAGACGTCTCTAAACAAGAACACAGGTAAACCAACCTTGTTCTTGAAGGACGTCGTCCATCGCAGAACACACATCCATGCGAGTTATACTCTCCAGCTGGCCGCTGCTTAGGGGTCTGCTGTTTTTCCTTCTTCTTATGACCAGAAGAAGAGTGTGCATGTGTGGGTGTGCACATGTGTGTGATAGTACACATTTGTCAATATACCCACAAAAAGATTCCTTATAAGTGGAATTTCGCCAGGCAGGGTAGCATAGGGCTGTAATCCCAGCAACTTGGGAGGCTGAGACAAGAGGATCACATTTGAGGCCAGGCTCAGCAACTTAGACCCTATCTCAAAAT